CCGAGTACGAGTACTTGAACGTCCGAGTACGAGTACGAGTACTTGTACTTCCGAGTACGAGTACGAGTACTTGTATATCCGAATACGGCAATACAAGTACAATGATCGAGTACAATTTCGACATATGTGAGTACGAGTTCTTTGCTGCTCGAGTACGAGTACCGTCATATCGAGTACAAGTACTTGACATTCGAGTGCGAGTATGAGTACGAGTACTCCAAAATTACTCTTATTGCTGAGTATTACATTTCATTACATTACATTTTTCAGATTTTTGGCTCTGGAGGATTTTTTTTTAAGGGAAATAAAGTCCGAAATTGTAAAATGGTCTGATTCCCATCTTGTGAATACGAAGTTACAACAATAATGTTAGCATGGAGCCAGACTAAAATTTGTAACCGGAAAATGTACACAAAAATAGTAACTGCCCATGTTCAGTGCATATCCGGCGAGCTAACGTTTACTAAAGGTTTGCCGTCTCCGGCAAAATATCCACTGCCTATTATGAAATATATCCCAGCTTGGACCATAGATTCACACACCTAGAAAAATCACTCGCCTAGAAAATCACACGCCTAAAAAAAAACCAGGTGTGCTTTTTTCCACACACCTGTGATTTTCTAATCAGAAGGACTGCAATTCCTTTTAAAAAATAAAATGCAAAAAAAATATGAAGACGAAAATACATGTTTTGCAACTTTGAAGTACACAGTAACTTAAATTTGTAAAAGCAAGGGTATTATTTTAAAAAAAGAATCATTTTAATCTTAAAAACGTTTGCTCAAACAATTCAGGGCGAAAGGGGCCAGGAATCACCTCAGATTGCGCCACAGGGCATCTAGAATTAACCCTAAAGGCTCTTAGGTGGTCAAAAACCAAATACCACAGAATATACTACAAGTTTTGTGCACACTTGTATGGAAAGAAATGCATACTACAGGTTACTACTCAATGTTATGTTGTAGCTTTAGGGACGGTTAGGATTAATGGATAATTGCAACAAAGTTTAATTGCCCATTGGTTAAAGTCGGGGTCTCGATAACATGGATAATACGTTAAAGAGGTCCCATGATGGTACACAATGTATGATTATTGTGACATAGTCTGGACCAACGCTGCTAGAAGTCTTCTTCATCATATTGACAAGCTCCTCAACCGGGCAGGTCAGATTGTTTTGAATGCACCATATAGAACATCCACTACTAACATATTTAATCATCTTGGTTGGACAACATTACAAGCACGTAGGGAATTACATCTCCATACGATGGCATTTAAGTGTTTAGCCGGATTAGTTCCAAGTTACCTTACTGAAAAAATCACCAGAATCAATAAACAGCATTCACATCGCACAAGATCTAGTACTATGGGGAGTGTTATTCTGCCACGTCCAAAAACCGAATCTGGCAGGAAAACTTTCCAATATCGGAGTGCCCAAGCCTGGAATGTCCTGCCTGCAAGGGTAAAGATCCATTTCCCACAACTGTACAGACCATTATCAACCATTTTGATTCTTAACTAGCTGGGCTTTTGATGATTTTGTTAAATTGATTTTTTTAAATTTTGATCATTAAATATGCAACAATGATGTCTGAGGGATTGAATAATGTGCCTTTTGTTGGGCACTATAGCTGCTAGATGAAATTTCGGCTAATTGTAAGGTACAATTTGTAAACTTCAATTTAAAGCAATTCTTATGCTCTCCGTTTCAAAATAACATTTCATACTGTGCAATGTGAATATAGGCTACACACACAGGCGCGGATCAACGGAGGGGTTTTTCATAGAAATTCAATAAAAATAATGTGACCCCCCTGCTCTGTCACCCCAAAAAATTATACTGGTTATAATGTCCGCCTGTGCACAAAATCAGGACAGAGCCAGCTTGGTTAGGGGGTATTTGGCCCCTATTCTTTAATACAGTGCTAATACTCGCCCCTATTGAAAGTATGGTACGAGCCCCCACCCCCATATCAATCAGAGGCCAAGTGTCCAAAGAAAAAAAAACTTGTCCGTACATTTTAGATTTTTTTGTTGATGAAAAAAAAACCCTGCAAAAATTCCTAGATCCGCCCCTGAGACATGTTCTTAAAATTTGATTTTATAAATTTTAATGTTCAAATCATGTTTCATTGTATTATTACCCCTACTGGGACCCATGGGAGATCAGTTCTGATAAAAGGACTAAATGGGCCACCCAGTATAAAGGAGAAATCAATAAATAAACGAGAGCCGATTGGAGGGGCGAGTTGCACAGAACCACGGGGCGGTGGCTGTGAAACTCCCTCGGAGGCAATTGACAAAGATGGGTGTAGTCTCAATGCAGGCGGGGACTCATACGATAGCCCGTCCCAGCACCCAGTGGTGTTCGGCACTGTGCTGGGAGGACACGGGTGATTGAAGCCCACCGAAGCGTGTCCAGTCTACTCGGGCTGCCCCGTGCTCGGGGATGGGACGGAGGGTGTATGGTGTATTGAAGCTCGGACCCGAGCCACGTTTACCCTGTCGACCCTTTTTAGGCTTAGCTCCGGCACCTTTTGTTTGGATGTTCCGATTGGAATGATCGGAGAGGGCGACCGATGGTCCCCTAACCGGCCAGTGGAACTGCCAGCGCCCTCATCAGCAGGCAGTGGCTGGGGGTGCCGGATGGAAGACTGCTGCCGCGGTAACGTCGTAACGTTAACAGCAGTGATGACCTCTGAGAACTCGGTCTGTCCCGGGGGAGAGGAATTCTCCCCGGTTTGTGACAGGCCAGTTCTCTCCAAACGTTTCATTACTGTTAAATAACTAAAGACGAAACTACAACTCTAACAATATCTTCTTTTATCAAATCATACAAGGTCTCTATTTCAATTGTCCTAGCCTAGTTGTAGATGAACATTTAGTTTAGTGGCATCAAAATGTTGTAACCGAGATTGGTTGAAATTTGGCTTCAATGTTTTCTTTGCCTTATCGTAACTTTAATGTGGTATTAATAAGGGATTCTTAAGTTTACCTATTCCCATGCATCGAGAGCCCGTCAAGTGGCTGGTCTTAAACAGTTGATAAAGACATGGCTTGATGGTCTTAAACGCTTTTCTAGTGTCACATGAAATTTTGACTCCTAATTCTAATGAAATCCTGTGCCTTTTACCTTGTTACAGGTTGAACGTTCACAATCCTCACGTACGTAGGCATGCGCAGTATTACCAGTGAGTCAGTATTTCATAGTCCTAAATTCACAATGCACCTCGCCACAGCTGTATCTGTGCGACATCGCGCAGTACGCGCGACGTGCGCGCCATTCTCCATGAAAGGAGTTGTTTACGTCTTACTCGCGAGCTGGACACTCGGTTATATAGCCACAGGGGTGTTTCTTAAAAATGAAGTGGAATAGTTGAACCAAATTATTGGACATTTATAATTTTTGACCTGTTTTGACTTTTGGACTGATTTTTTTTTTGACCTAAAAGGTATTCATGAATGGGAATAAATATGTGCTTGGTTGGTATTTAACACTATGTTTAAGACCGGTTGGAGTCCGTATACTGATAATTATCACCCATCCAGACTTCAACCGGTCTTAAACACAGTGTTTAATACCTCCCAAGTACACACTTATTCCCTTAATAAATGTGTGCTTTGGTATTAAACACTATGTTTAAGACTGGTTGGAGTCTGGATGGGTAATTATCAGCATCATAGTGTTTAATACCGACCAAGCACATATTTATTCTCATTCATAAATACCTTTTCGGTAAAAAAAAATCCAAAATTTTCGGTCCAATAGTCAAAACAAATCAAAACTTAAAACTTTCTAACGATTTTGTTCAACAATTTTACTTCATGTGTTTCGAAACACTCCTCTAGCTGTGGTGAGTGCATAATTGTGACTATGAAATACTAACTCGCTGGTAGTGTTGCGCATGCCTACGTGACGATTGTGAACGTTCCACCAATAAAGCGGTAAAAGGCACTGGATTTTATAGGAGTCAAAATTTCATGTGACAATGAAAAGTGTTTAAGACCAGCCAGCCATATTTGTTTTTATCATCCGTCAGAGGTGGCAGCAAGTCATCTTTTGCAAGTCCAAGTCAAGTCACAAGTCATTGTTTGCAAGTCCAAGTCAAGTCACAAGTCATTGTTTGCAAGTCCAAGTCAAGTCACAAGTCATTATGTCCAGTCACAAGTCAAGTCACAAGTCATTAGGTCCAGTCACAAGTCAAGTCACAAGTCATTTGGTCTAAACACAAGTCAAGTCACAAGTATCTTTGTCCAAGAACACGTCAAGCTGCACATTATTTTGTCCAGCTGTAATAAGCTAAAAGAACCTGGCGTCAACTTACGAGTTATTTTGAACATGCCTCCTTAATTCCCCTTTTGCAATGTGTTGCAATTACTATTCTTGTAGTTTATCACATATCTGTCGGATATTAGCCCTTTGTATACTTTAATAAATTTACTAAACATTGTAGAAAATAGAAATAACTGTTGAGATGACATGAAACAAAGACTTCACTCACTCGATTACATGTAGTATACTAACACTTTATTGTTCAATTTTCATGTATACTAAACGCCGACCAATGTGTTAGGCTATACGGTATTTTACATGCAATTGACAAAGGCCTGATTGAAAAGAATTTCATGAAAGGTTCCTTTCAAAGTTTGTTCAACCATTACATTAAGCAAGAGACTTGGTCATTGAAAACTGTAGTTTGTTGTGACAGTCTTATTGAAAACTTTTGAAACTAGTGGGAACTATTCATTTTACTGGATTCAGTCACTGAGGTCTATTTTCTGGAATGAAACTTTCTCGCTGCAAATAAAAACTGCATTTATAAACACCTTGAGTGGCCTTTTTGGGCCTTGTGTTTGGCGACTTCAATTGAAAAAAATCTATTTTTTCATGTACCAACTGTTACACTTCAAATAAACAAGATTTGATAGCATAGTATCACTCAACTTTGCTCTGTGTGGCCTCATAATTATTCCTCCATGCATGACTGAATACACGTTCGATGGGGGAGCTAGTAGCAGGAACAGACAGCACCCTCATAGCAAAAGGAAAGAGTCTGGGGAGGCTGTTCTTATTTACCAACCAGAAGTGTAGGCAGGCATTACGCAACGTAACAGCTCAGCTCACTGATATGATCTACAGCTGCATCTGGGCGAAGTAGAAACCGCGCAAAGTCCGTTTTTTAATGCACGTAAGGCGTAAACCGAATAGCTAATTAAAAGTACAATAGCTTAATTAAAGTGTATTGGGTCGCTCGAGTAGCGTCTGACTTGGGTTGGTAACAAGTCATTTTTTGCCATCCCAAGTCAAGTCACAAGTCATTGTTTGCAAGTCCAAGTCAAGTCACAAGTCAAAGCTGGTATTTACAAGTCAAGTCACAAGTCACAAAAATAGCGACTCGAGTCCGACTCGAGTCCAAGTCACATGACTCGAGTCAGCAACTCTGTCATCCGTTTAAGACAGGTCACGTGACGGGCTCTCGAACCAATGGGAATGGGTAAACTGTCTAAGGTATTTATGAATAATGATAAATGGTCAATTACAAACATTTAAGAAATGAATAAAATCTAACATGGCATTAATCTCTTTTTTTTCCAGGGTGATACTCTGTTTGGCTCGAAGCTTGAAGACGATGCAGTTGATACAATGGATCTCGGGGATACCTCGATAGAGCTTGTGATGTCAGACAACATACAAGAAAAATTCAACAAACTGAATGTAGAGGCAGAGCTTCAGGTGAGTTTATTGGCCGGCCTGATCAAGTTGAGTGGATCAGGATCCTACCTAGGGGATGAGAGAAAGAGCGCTAGAGCTCAAAGTATGAGTCTAATCTACAAGCTGAGAACAGTCAATGAAGAGATCATGCTTCGCCAGAACAAAGATAAGATCGACCTGGAAATTCTGTCACCTTCAAATGTGCAAACCATCAACGCAACCCATGTGGTTTGTGCTATTGATTGGGGAGCAGTTTGCTCGATTACCTGCGAGTACGAAAACAAAGAAGATGAAGATGTCACTGAAGTCAAAGGGGCCTTGAGCGCAGAGCTTGATAAACTCAAAGTTTTGGTTGATGTCAAAGGTTCTGCAAAAGCATCATATGATGATCAAAACAAAGACAGTCACAAAAAGTTCACCTTCAAATGCAAAGCGGATGTGTCGGCTCCTGACAAGGATCTACCTGTGACATTCGAAGGCGCTGTTGATCTAGCGCGAAATCTCCCAAGTCTAGTTAAAGGTACCAACGCAGGGAAGGGCGTTCCATTACTTTACATGTTGATGCCACTGGATGCTGTCGTCAAGATGTGTAGGCTCCAGATACAACTTCATATACAATACACATCAATCAATGACGACATCATCAAAAAGTGTGCACAGGTTGTGGAGGGAATCACCAAAAAGAGACAATCTCTCTACGATATTCAAAAAGATCTGCATGCCAATGCCGAATATGTCACTGAAGGCTCTCTAGCTAGGATTGATGATATCTTAGAGAAGTTCATTGTGCAAGAATCTGGTTTTAAGTCTAGGCTGCAAGATTTGGTGAAGAAAGTCAGGTCGGGAAGTGTAGATGTCTCTAAAATCGAGGCATTCCTGGATAAAGAATTGTCTGGGGCATTTTCCATCTCCAGGTACAACGATCACATTAGAGGATTTCAAAAAGATCTGAACAAACTAAAATCTATCAAATCATGGAAGAAGAAAGGAATCATCTACATCGGGAAAAAAGATGAAGTTGCCATGGACGACAGAAAATTTGTCTACACACTCTACAAGACTCGGGACGAGAATGTAAAGAACGATCTTGATGAGAAAAATCGAGAGTTCTTTTTACGACTACAAAAAACACATGCTCATGAGGAGGACTACAAATTCATTGTTGTGGACCAAGACCTAAGAGAGGATATTTGGCCATCTGGTGAAAAGAAGACAACCATTTATAGCTTTGTAGACGGTCGTCGAACATCGGAAGACCTGTACGCCAAAAAAGGCCAAGACTCTGAGATGTGTCTGATACAAATCAATAGACCAGTCTACCAGCAAATACGCCCAAACAACCGAGCACATGTCCAGCTAAGATGCCCAAATGCTTTGGCCGCAAATGGTCAATGTTCAGGCGACCCTGTCACTTGGAAGTGTTCAAAATGCAGAGAGTTGGTTGAATATGGCATAGAAACTAAACTGTTTTACTGCAAATGCGGACAATCTGACCCCAACGAATCACTCTGGCGTTGTAATGAGAATGATCATGGCATGAACTACGTCAAGTATCAACACGATATTCTCTCTGCGGAGTTGTCAAATCTGCGGGCCATAAAGGAGAGAAACATCTTGATCCTGGGTGAGACAGGCGTTGGAAAATCTACGTGGATCAACGGTTTTATGAACTACCTTTACTATGCTGATCTTGAAGAAGCTATGAAAGCCAAGGAATTCCACATTTTAATACCGTCCAGCTTCACCTTTACACAGCAAGGGAAGGAAAAGAAGATAATGGTTGGGGAAAGTGACACCAATGAGAATATGGAAGCAGGAAAATCTGCCACCAAAGAGCCTCGTTCCTATGTCTTCCACGTAGGAGGGGAAATCGTTCGCTTGATTGACACACCAGGAATTGGAGATAGTGAAGGTATACAACAAGATCGGAAAAACTTTGACAATATACTATCGTATCTGACCCACTACCAGGAGATTCATGCTGTGTGCATACTTCTCAAGCCAAACAATTCACGTCTAACAGCAATGTTCCGTTTTTGCATCCAAGAACTCTTGGTCCATCTGCATTCGTCGGCCAAAAACAATATCGTATTCTGCTTCACCAATGCACGAGCTACATTCTACCAGCCTGGAGACACCTTGCCTGCCCTCAACAGAGAGCTCGAGGACAAACAGGTTGGAATTCAAGCTAATCCAAACAACTACTTCTGTTTTGATAACGAGCCTTTCCGGTTTTTGGCTTGTGTGAAAAACGAGGTTGAATTCAGCCAAGGGGAGATAAACACTTATGCTGAAAGCTGGAACAGGTCTGTTGAAGAAACCAAGAAGCTATTTAAGCACATCAGCTCTTTGAGGCCTCACAATATTCGTAACACTTTGAGTATGAATGAGGCTCGAAGAATCATCGTGGCCATGAGCAAACCCTTGGCAGAAGTGGCCAAGACAATCCAACAAAATGTACAGGAAGGCAATGAAGCAAAGACACAAATTGACCTGGTTGACAAAGATATGGACAGCTTGAAAGCCAATCTGAAGTTTTCTGGATTTGAACTCAAGCGTGAGGAGCTAGGCTATCCTAGAACAGTATGTACAGATTCAAAATGTGTCAGATATGTCCCAATCGGTGCAAGTAGTAAGCAAAACACAGTATACGAGCAAATATGCCATCCGCATTGTCGTCTGAGCGGAATTCCAACGGAAACTACCAATGACTCAAGACTACAATGTTGTTGGTGCATAAGCGGGACTACTTGTGATAAATGTGGTCACCATTACACCAAACATATGCACATGACGTATGACCTGCAGGTTTCCGAAACGGATTTCCTTTCTGAAGAAGTTCAAACACAAATCAATCAAAAGAAAAGCGCTAGAGAAACCAAGGAAGCTTTCAAAGAAGCAATTGATACAAAAATTGAGGAATTGAAGAAAGAGGAAAACATCATCATGAAAACTAGCGCCAAGTATGGCTCATATCTCAAAGCAAATGCTCTCATACCCTACAATGACGCAGTTGGAGACTATCTTGACATGTCTATTGAACAGGAGAGAAACAAAGCAAAGGCAATCCGAAACGACACTCTTCTGACTACAATGGAAGAAATGAAGAGACAATATGAACATGAAAGGAGAATCTTGGATCAGGCAATCGATGAAGATGGTGGCGAAAACATACACACTCCAGAGGAAGTGATGAAGCTTCAGAAAGAGCTCTTTGGCCTAAAGCATATGGGGAAAACATTGAAAGATCTTTTTGATGGAATCTCCATCTCACACTCTGCCAGAAACAGAGCATTCAAAGAGAAGACTGCCCCCATTCCACAAAATTACCCCAAAAAAGGGGAAAAGAGAAGTATCTTTTCTTTTTCATGGCCCACATGGTCTAGACCAAAGGCTACAAATTCAGCTGAGAGTGTACATGCAGGACACAACACTAAACAGCATATATCAATTAAAACAACAAAAAATCCTGCAAAGAGATGATTTCCATTCCCCGACAGGGTTACAATAACAACAACCCATACACATCTTCAACATCATCCACAGCAACAAAACGTTGAATGAACAATATTTGGTTGGTCAAGCCGTCAGAGAAATTCACGTCTGATATCATATTCTTGCACGGTGAATAAAAGTAGAGTATAGTAAGTAATTTAAAGAAAAACGAACTGAATTTAAGTTATGATATTCAGCAGGCAAATTATCATTATACTTACATGTAATATTGCATTGTTTATTATGAAAGGAAACAAATTATTGTACTTTTGAGATAATGAAAGAATACTACACACTTTGTTTACCTTTAAGTTGTTAAAATTGAAATAACACATATGTTGTGCAAAACCGACCCGAAACCGACCCGAAATCGACTTCGGGTCAGGTTTGGTTGGGTTGGCCATCATTTTAGTCGGGTCGGGTCGGTTTCGGTTTTGCAATTGCGATTTTTGGTCGGGTCGGGTCGGTTAAGCCATAAACCCATAATGAACCAAAACAGAATGGAATTTCACACGGTGCACTATTTATTTAGTGCGGAGTCACTGCGTGCGGTGCAAATAAAAATGGTTTGCGGTCTGTCTCGATCGGTCTATAACATGTAGGCCCACCAGTAGGTCACGTTGTGAGTGCCGCATGGCATGATTCATTTACTGAAAGCTGACATTTTTTACGCGAAGCATCTCAGTTCAGACATAAAAAGTGGACACATTTGCCAAAGCCAGATATTCATTTTTTGGGGGTATCAGTTCGGGTTGGTTTTCTTTGAATTGCTGTCGGGTCAGGTCGGTATAAAATAAATGTCTCGGGTCGGTTTGGTCTGGTGAACCTGACCCAATGCTCACTCTGTTGTACCCTAAATATTACATTGAACAAAGAAAATAAACGAATTACAATGTATATATCTCCTGATACTGCATTGTTAAATATGAAAGTAACGTTTTGACAAATGTGTACTCTTTGAGTTCGGATATTGTTTTTTACATGAAAGTAAGGTTAACAATTTAATTTACAAATTATACTATTTCATTTAAGCATGAGCAAAGTGCTTTATGCATGGTCTCATATGAAAAGTCAGACTTAAATACCAACCAAACTTGGTGACAGTAATCTTTGGGTAAGGGGACCTTCAATGACCTGTAACATTTCAGGTCTAAGGTCATCTAGGGATCATGAGGTCATTGACATTTTCCGGTTCGTAAACCTATGAAGTGCTGTTACATATGAACAGTCGACTCAGACTTCAGCATCAACCAAACTTGGTGACAATCATCTTTGGGTAGGGGGGGACCTCAGATGACCAGTGATATTTCAGGTCCAAAGTCATCTTGGGGTCAAATTCGCCATTCCGGGGGATCCGCAAGTTTTACAAATGTACTTGCTGTATTTTTTTGTACACTATGTAGGTAGATTAAACAAATTATTGTACTTGTGATATTTTATTTAAACTAACTCTTCGAGTAGAGTGCAAAGAATTATTGCTGATGCATTGCTGAATTTGAATGTCAAGTAGGTACACCACTCCCGATATTGGTTTTTACACAAAGGTAACGTAACTTATTGTGGTATGCAGTATTACATTAACATGACAGTAAAAAATACACTAACAAAGTGCTGTATTTCTGATATTGTTAAACATGGAAGTAAAGAAGGGCAGTTATTGTTCTGGTATTAGTGTGGTGGGCACTACGTGAGAAGTTCCTTGGTTGTTGATGTGTGTTCAGCAACGGGGGTAGGGATCTGGATCCCTCAGTCAGGCGATGGCAGGGAGGCAGCCTTATATGGGCACACCCAAATGCATCTTTAATGTGACGTAACCCGACACCTGATGACGTCACGATCACAAATCTCTTCTTGGACCATCTGTGGGTGGTGTTCTCTACCAAGTCTGAAATCAATCGGATTTCAAAAAGTGCCCAAGTGGACTGGTAGAAGAAACGTGTACAAAACCTATGGAGAAAAAGTCTGAAAAAGGAGAAGAAAAAACTAGAAATGTGTTTGTGGACAAACACAAGCTGTTTCGGATATTTGAAATACTCTGTGCACGTGATGAACTATCAGTGACGTCACTACAAATGTTATTTGAAACAGCACGTCAAGTTACAACCAAATCGAACATTATAGTTCTATATCTGTCGATATAGGCCTATAAAAGAACAAAATGCCCCTTTAAATATGGAATGTCACTTGACATTTGATGACCATGTCACTTCATTTTCCATCTATAGCACATCACTGTGAATGTGCGTACCAAGTTTTAACCCAATTGAACTTGTACAAGTTTCCGAAGTTATAGGGATTTGAAAAAAAAATGCACATCTAAAATCACGTTACATGACACATGATGACGTCATCGTTACGAATTCAATGGGGACCATCTTTGGCTGCTGGTCTTAGTGTCTGACAAATGTAAAGCCAATCAGACATATAGAAGTGCAAACATGTATGGTTTGAAGAAACACGTATACAAAACTAATGGGGGAAAAAGCATCTTTAATGTGACGTAACCTGACACCTCATGACGTCACGATCACAGATTTCCTTTAAGACCATCTGTGGGTGGTTGTCTAAGTGTGTACCAAGCCTAACATCGATCAGATTTACAAAAGTACCAAAGTAGTGTTCTTTAAAACGTGTACAAAGCCTATGGGAAAAAATGCATCTTTAATGTGACGTAACCTGACACCTGATAATGTCATGATCACGATTTTTTTTATAGGACCGTTTGTGGGTGGTGATCTAAGTATGTACCAAGTCTGAAGTCGATCAGATTTACAAAAGTGCCCAAAGTGGAGTGTTTTTAAAATGTACAAAACCCATGGGAAAAAATGCATCTTTAATGTGACGTAACTCGACACTTGATGACGTCACGGTCACAAATTTCTTCTAGGACTATCTGTTGGTAGTGGTCTAAGTACATATGTACCAAGTCTGAAATTGATCGGATTTGAAAAAGTGCCAAAGTGGACTGCATGGTGGAAGAAACGTGTACTAAACCTATGGAGAAAAAATCTGAAAAAGGAGAAGAAAAAAAACCGAAATAGCTAAAAAAAAATCTTAACGAAAACAAGAGCTATTTCGTTGTGTAACCGAAACAGCTAAAAGGGAAAAAAAAATCTTAACGAAAACAAGAGCTGTTTCGGTGTGTACACCGAAACAGCTAACAAAACTGTCTAGTGAGGGCACCCTTGTATCCATTACATTAGGCCTAATCTTTTGTACATTAAAGTAGCACACAACTAATTGTATTCTTCATATTAATAACATTAAAGTTAATTATAAGTTCAAAGTCTTGTTGTATGCTTGAAAGTAGATTCTACATATTGAAAATTATTTGTAATCTTGGTATTATTAAATACACAAATGTAACGTTAACAAATTAGTGTACCCGTGATATTTCAATGATAATAAAACACAATGTGCTGTATTAATGATTAACTGTTGTAAACGTAAAACGGGAAAATCGTTGTACACGAATTTAACGTAAAACAAAATTGTACTCGTATTTTGTTAAAACATGCAAGTAAACAGAGTATTGTATTTCTATGATATTGCACTGTAAAGCATGAAAGTAAAAATAAGGCAAATTATTATACTCCTGATATGATAACAATATTGCTTACATAATAATAATAATCATCATAATAATAATCTTATATACCGCCAAATCCTTCAAAACGTTTACGAAAGTAAACAACAGTTTTATCAAATGTGCCAACAATATTAGAATAATTTCCCAAATCCATACATTTATATGGAAGGGCCATAGGAATTCCAGTGTTTATTTTAAAGGGAATGGCATGTACCTTACAAAATTAATCTTAACATTTGACGATCCATCAAAAATGTTATCCTATATATTGTCTCATCTCATAGGGGATGGCATTCTCACCTGTAGCTTAAAGAAACCATCCAGTCCTTCAAAACAGCTCTCAAAACTCACCTCATGTCGTTAGCTTTCAATTAATCCCTTGCATTTATGTTTATTTTGTTTTTCTGCTCTTCCGTTGCTTACCTTCATTTGTTTAGTTTGTTTATTAATTCATATTGATTTTGTTTACCTATTTTTGCTGCTGTTTTGCTTGTATACAATTATGTATAGCGCCTTGAGCACCTCACGGTGGATATGTTTGCGCTTTATAAATGTCCAATATTATTATTATTATTATGATGGTGTTGCACACTTCAGTTTTAATTCAACCACGAAAATAAAGTACAAAATTGGGCGTTTTTTGTGATATCATATTGTTAAACGTTGAAGTAAAGTAAGACACTTATTGTTTTTGTGGTATTGTTTGATTATGAATATGAAAGACGCCCAAACAGGCGTATTGTACTCGCAATATTTCATTTAAACATGAGAGTAAAAAAAAAATCATCAAAAGCATCTAGGCACTGTACATTGTAGCTCGCAAGCCTGAAGAAACCCGTAGAGAAGACAATGAGAAGAAATTACAGTGTTGGAGGTTGGAGTAAAACTCTAGAATAATATTCAGGGGATAATCCACAGAATCACACGGGGACTGAAAACCCAATCCACATATTGGCCCAGGCTGGATTCGAACCCGGGTCAAAAGTGGTGGAAGGCGAGGAAATTAGTGTTATGCCAATATGACGGAACTGCCCATCTCTCTTCACCAGTCAACAACCAGGCGAAGTTAAAGGGAATGTACATCATTGGCTTTTGCTGTAATTTTCAGAAATGAACTATTTGAGGGGTTAGTATAATAGATCAAATATTGTTACACTGACATGTTTGAAGTTTTTTTTTCGAAAATGCTAGAAAAACCAAGAAAAACAAAAATGTTCAAGTAGTCTGGTTCCTCGACTCCACTAAAGATAAAATGGATCAATTTATAGATGCCGGAAAATTGTAAGGTAAGGGAACCAGTCTAGCTGGCATGCACCCGTTCATGAACATGTAACCAATAGCAAACAAATTTGGACTGAAAAAAGTGTGAAGTTGGAGCAGTAGTTGAAAACTAGTTAGGTTTTTCCAACGGAGGTCGGCCGACCACCGTTTGAAATGTATACAAAAATACTATTTTCTTGAAAAACTTCACACCAG